AAGAAAGAAAGAAAGAAAGAAAGAAAGAAAGAAAGAAAGAAAGAAAGAAAGAAAGAAAGAAAGAGGAAGGAGATGAAGTTGTCAGAAAAAAAGTGATGGGAAATATGGGAGGTGTTGTAGGGGAGAGAGTGGGCATCAAAACACCTTATATTCATGTACGAAATTCTCAATAAAGTTTTTTTTTAAGTGAAAAAAATATGATTGAGGTGCTGGAGAGATAGCTCAGTGGCTAAAAACACTGGCTGCTCATGCGGAGGACCCAGGTTCAAATCCCAGCATCCACACAGTAGCTAATAATGGTCTGTAACTCCAGTTCCAGAGGATCAGACGCCCTCTTCTGACCTTCTCAGGAACTGCATGACATGGGTGTACTTACATACATGCAGGCAATACACTCATACACATAAAACAAAACAAAGTATTTAAATGATATATTATTGAACTACAGGCTATCTAGAAGACATTTCAAATATAACAATATATTTGGTTGGAAACAAAAGACTAGGGAAGATATCACACAAGCATTAATCAAAGAAAAGCAGCAGTGTTCTATTAACATCAGATAAGATAGACTTCCGAGCAGGGGATATTACCAGAGAAAGACACAGAATCTGTAAAGACAAAAAGGTCAACCCACCAAGAAAGCAAAGCAAACAGACCCATGCATAACACAAACCAAACAAACGGCAAATGGGACAGAACTGAAAGAAGACAAATCCACAGCTGTAATGGGTAATTCAAGTTCCCTCTCCCAGCAGCTACACAAAGTCACCTAGGAAACAGGGGACTCAACAACCAGAACTAACAGTTCTAGATCAGTCCACCAAACAGCAGAACTGTACATGCCTTACCAACTGTGGAATATAAGTAAAAATAGACTGTACCCAGTCCACAAAAGAAGTGTGAAAGAGTTTCACCCACACCATGCATGCTCTCCAAGGACAATGAAATCAAATGAAAAATAACAGACATGTCTCCAAATACTTGGAAACTGTGCTGGATAGCTCTAGTTATCAACTTGACACACCTGGGTAGAGGGAGCCTCAACTGGTGGATTGCCTCCATTGGACTGGCCTGTGGTCATGTTTGTGAGGCATCTTGTTGATTATTGAGTGGTGTAGGGGGGCCCAGTCCACTCAGGGCACCTATGTTGTATAAGAAAGCAGGCTGAGCATGGGCCAAGAGAGCAAGCCAGTCAAAAGCGTTCCTCCATGGCCTGTGTTTCAGCTCATGCCTCCAGGTTCCTTCCGAGTTCCTACCTCCGGTTCCATGAACCTGGGAGATGTAAGCCTCTCCTCCCCAAGTTGGTATTTGTCTAGTGTTTTGTCACATCAATGGAGAAACAAACTAGAACAGAAATTGAACAACATACTTCTAAATAACAGTAGCTAAAACAGGATTCTCAAGAGAAATAACAACGTTACAGTGGGCAGAAAGAAAACAAAAGGCAACTCTCAGGAGTTGTGAAACAGCTACAGCTGTGCAAGGAGGGAAATTTGTAGTATTGAATATATACAAGAGAAAAGGGAGATGGGGCCTGTGATGGCTAAT